GAAAAAAAAACAACCTTGTAGCTCTAGGATCAGTTTCATGAATTAATCATTTTCAATTAATTAATCACCCCAGTATAAACTGTCTGGTCAAAACTTCGATTTGATTGTGATAAGATGTCTATGAGTGCTTTCTAAAAAATCGTGGAGCTCAAGGATCAATTTCATGAATTGAGCACTTTTAGGGATGTTCAGGATCTTCCGATGGGCCAACCCGTAGTCTCCAGAGTCCATATTCTGAACTCAACTTCTGATAAGATTTTTTATATATCTTTAGTTAGAAGACTTTCAGCCGTGGGCTGGTTCGTCTCCGAAAGTTCTGATAAGATGTCTCTGAGTGGTTTCGAAAAATCCGCGGAGCTCTAGGATCAGTTTCATGAATTGACCACTTTTACGGATATTCTGGATCTTCCACAGGATCAGACTTGTGTCCTATCGGAAACTGAATCGTCCCAAAAGGTGACCAACTTTCTGCTTAACAACTTCTCAGAAGACATCAGGAAGTCATCTCTTCAAATTGCCCGACAATCAGTGTTTGGTCCCAATTAGCTCTAATCCCATATGCTACGTGTATTCGTTAATGCCGGTTCCTATAGTGCGGTCCCTATTAACCGTACTATAGGAATCTTGACTGTATATACAGTCGTACCTCGTTATATCGAAGCAAAAAATATTTTTTTTTTTAAATCGAAAATTGTTTATCGTAACCCAAAGATGACACAATTTTTTTTTCTAGTCATCTAACAGGTTTACAAAACCTTTTTTTTACATAATTTTCCCCAATTTTATTAGATAAGTTCCCAAAGCTTACATGAAAGATATGAAAATTAAAAAAAAAAAAAAAGTACTAGAGTCTGTGCCTAGGGTCACGAACGGAAGGTTGATGTAGGAACGCGATTGGTCGGTACACTTGTTTTTGTGCTTAGTTCTTTTCGTTGTTCAGAATCTATATCCTTAAAACTCTGTAAATATTTCAAATGGTGCCGTTTGTGTGACCATGGAATCGATACCAACAGTGAATGAACTGCGGCACCGGTGGTTTAGTGGTAAACGTGATTGCCTCTCATCCCAAAAGGCGTGGGCTTCAATCCCAGTCGGTGCCTGTGGGGTATTTCTGAGGTATAAAATCTCTGATCACGCCTTCCTTCGGAAGGGAAGTAAAGCCGTTGGTCCCTGGTCCATGAGTTAATGGGTCAATAAGGTAGGGTCCAGGTGTGGGAGCTGGCTCCCTGGCGTCGGTAGCACTGGTGTTCAGTACGGAAAACAAGATCGACGGAAAACAAATGGAAGAAAAAAAAGTAAATCAACTTTTTAGTACAACCGCTGCATTGTTTTAATATTACCGATGAGTTTTCTACCGGGGTCTCTTAGCCTAGTCAGTAAAGGTATGGTATTACCAAGCCAGAGGCGGTGGGTTCGATTCCCGGTCCGGTCGAGCGAATCTTTCGGGTTGAAAATTGTCTCGACTTCCCTGGGCATAGAGTATCATTGTGCTTGCCATTGTGTGATGTCCGTGCGAGAGAATATAGATTCATCCTGTAGGTTTACCTGGGTCCTTGCTGAAGAAACTTCGGTGGAGGTGAACGCTCTACACTAGCGTAACAACGATTGTTGGTGTCCAACTCAATCATTCGATGATTGATCGACAGGGAACGGATCAGTGATGGGCACGCAAATCTTCACCGCATATTACGGACAACAGGTGAAGGGTACAAGTTCTTCCTTCATTATACAAATAACATTAACACACAAGTTTTGTACGAAACACAAACTCTAACTACACTACATTTATTCTGAACAGACTACACCACAAATTACAATAATATTTCTCGGTCTCGCAGGACCGTCTTCGACCTTGTGCCACTTATCAACTAAAATACAAAATATCCGTTATCTACTCTCTAACCCGATCCCAGTATCCCATCGTGTATGTGGTGAGTTTCACAAGAGATCGAATCGTAGACCGAATCTCTCGCTCTCATCGTCCACCTCATCTCCCGTGTGCTAATGAAAGCGAAAGTGATCTGGATCTACAATCAACTGCTGGTCGATCGATGGCCAGTACAATAGCCGGAGCCATCATCTAGTCGGCTGTTACGGTGATAGTATTGTGCTAGGGTGGTCCTCACAGACACTTCCCATCCGTTCGCGATTCTGATTAGTACGCGACATATTCATATTTTATTTGTTAAATTTCTTAGTTGTTCAATTATTTTATTTTCACTATTTTTACTATACATACATCAAAAAACTACAAGGGACAGCCCTATGGGGTTGTACGCACTGGTGACGTAGGACTACGTGGTCTTATATAAAAAAAAATGTTATTTGTTAACTGCAGAAGGAGATTTTTAACAAATTTATGGTGGTCCAGAAAAGGACCGTTTTGTTGTGATGATTGAGTAATGCTGAGCTACTATTAGGATGTTCAACACTGATAAAGCTGACGAGCTGTAGGTTGTTTGGAACGAGGTTGACGCACTTGGAGTAGATGGCCTACTGTGGCGCACAACGCGCAACTGAATCCGATCAGTAGCGGTGTGGCTTCGTCCTCTTTCTTCGTAGAATCGAAGGCTGAATCGAGAGCATGTAGCTAGCTGCATGCCGGCAGGCTTTCATTATGTACTGGAGAACGCCAAGCGCCAAAAGCGCTGCTGCTGCTGCTGATGACGACCGAACACCACCACTCAACACACGCAGTAATTGAATAAACACCGTTTGGCAAGACCGGAGTGAAATCAATTTTTAAATCTGTGTTATTAAAAGCGCTTTTCGCAGGCAATCGGTGATAAATTAAATTATGATAGCAACAGTTGCACATTCGTGCAATTTTCAATAGTGACCTATTGACAATTGGTAAAGTGTTCATTATAACAGATTTATAGATGACTTTCCACTCGATTGGCTTGTTTAGAATTAAAATCCATCCATTTTGTTACATGTTCCATTTTGGGTTTTCACAAAGTGTACCCCCATATAGAGATCACAGACGTAGTCCTACGTCAAAATTGCTGGATGTTTTCTCCGTCGAATGAAATATATCCCAGTATGTATTGGTTCATTTCTCCATTAATAAACTTTTCGTTACATGCCTCCCATGCCTGAAATAATAAACATCTGAGAGAGAGGAGACAGCTTTGCTATCGATCACGCAAACGTCATCGAGATCCAGTCATAAACTGTCACTGCAAACTAGACCGAACATTAGAAATGGGGCTATCATCCTTTCGTGCGGGCCCAGGCTTGCCTTTGCAAACCAACAACACGATTGGGTAGGCGAGAAAAAAGAAGAAGACAAAGAAAACAAACCATCCGTCATTGAGCTGGCTTCTCTCTCTAGGATAAAAATGATGTTTGTTCAAGAAGTCGGCTATGGCGTATTCGGCCCCAACCTAGATACCAGCAGAGGCCTTCCTAAGCCTACATCGATCTTCTCGGCTGAGGCAGCTGCCATCTTCTCAGTCGTTACGGAGTCCAGTTTTTCCTGGAAGCCCATCATTACCGATTCGGCCAGTGCACTGCAGTGTGCTGAAGGCCCTTGAGAGTCCGAAGAACCGACACTCGTTGGTGCAAGCAATCAGAATGGCTTCGAACAGTAACACCGTATATGTCTGGGTTCCCAGCCACTGCAATATCAGTGGAAACGAGGCTGCGGACAAGCTGGCAGCGATCGGCAGATCGAAAACCCCAATGGAACCGGAAGTCCCTGCAGCGGATTTAAAAATCTGGATCAAAACGATCATCGCTTCGGCATGGGACAAGGAATGGGTTAGTACCCGAGACCCTTTCTTACGCAAAATGAAAGGAGATACGAAATGCTGGTCCGCCACCAAAAACTGGAAGGACCAGAGAGTACTGTCCAGATTACGCTGCGGCTAGACCAGATTCTCACACGATCTCGGATCCCGTGAGGGATTCCACAAACAATGTATGGGGTGCTCAACCAAAATGTCAGTTGAGCATCTCATAACAAATTGCCCTGCGCATCAAAACCTCCGAGACCAATGCGATATCGGTCTCAGCATCAGAGACGCATTATCCAATGACTCAGACAGGGAAAGATCACTTCTCGACTTCCTTAAAGACACAGGCTATTATCAATATACGTAGAACCCCGCAACGAACAATGACACGACAACGGACGAACGACGGCACTTGGACAACACCAGCTCTCTAAATGACATGCCAAAAGGAAGAACAACGATGACAACCCCGCAGGCTACGGACATTGACTCTCTCTCTCGGAAATTAACCACAACTTCGTTCACCTTCCTTACTGTTAAAACAATTGACACAGAACTCTGAGATACTTAAACTCTGTAACAAACACTATGTAATTTATTTATTTTCTCTCTCCGGGACCCCCTCAGGAGCCCCAATCCTTCAAAGAGACGAACCAGTTACAGGCTGAAATTCTCTATAATAAAGCAAAAAAAAATGTTTTTTCAACCCAGCGTTACATGAAAAATTCAATAATACCATGTATAAAATAATTTCAAATGGATTTGTAACGTTAATAATCGATTGTGAGTTGATATTTTTCACTTTTGAGACTTAAAAAAAAGTTACGTTATATCGAGGTGGAAGTTACGTTATATCGAGGTTGCTTTATATCGAGGTATGACTGTAGTTAATAAAGTGCAAAAGACCACCCTACAAAATGTAATGCCTGTAACAAAAATTAAAAGTCTGTACATTCACAGACTCGCTACAGGCCACCTACTAATGATTTTAACTACTGTAATTTGAACCGAGCTGTCAACGTAATTGTACATTTAATGAACATACCTTAAACCAACCAAAATAATGGTTCGCTCGTTTCATGCCACGTCTCGCTATTTGATGGACATGAAAATTTACTTTATGTAACAAGTTCCTCCTTGTCCGTCGACGACCATAAGGTTATGAAGTGAAACGACATCCCAATTATAGTGAACTTCACCGAACTGATAATTTTTCGTTTTTCCCTCTTCTACCCTGTTTTCTCTTTCCACCTCACACAGCCTCGACGTCCGGGGAAAGTCACTGGACGACGCTCAACACTGGTCGGCACCGCAAGTTTTCGGATCCCGAGCCCGTTACGTCATCGAAAGTGATCCAGCATATTTGGAATTGAATGTAAGTTGCATCCGAAAAACCCCCATCCAACCGGCCGAAATGTCGTAATTAGTCTAATTGCTCAATTTCTCTTCTGCCACCCTTCTCTGTTTCTCTCTTCCTGAAAACTAGGAAATTAAACGTCATGATCAAGGGATTTACCGGTGCCGGGTCGATTTCCAAAACAGCCAAACCCAGAGCTTTCGCTTCAATCTCACCGTCATTAGTGAGTATTTTCCACCACCACCACCAGCCAGGAGCCAACAAGGAGCAGCTCAGAGTAGAAGCGCAGTTGATTCGGTTTTGGATTTCTACCCTCGAGGGTGCCTCACCCTCACGTTCGCGCGGATGGCAGATTGGGGTTTTCCGATATTTACCGTTGCGGGCGAATGGGAAAACGGAACCAAATTGAGCCAATTCCCGATTTCCCTGGTCGAAATAATAAATAAGTGCTTTATTTCGCCTTTTTTTCCCCTTCTTTGGGGAGGGTGCGCCCACGGAAGCTGTCGATAACAATCGATCCGAAATGAATAGAACGGATGGTGGGAGGAAATTTATCATTGGCGATTTTTTTTTTTACCTCCCTTTAGACGATGATACCAACATCCGAGAAAAAAAAAACGCGCACCTTTGAAAGGTGAAACTGAAAGCAACCACCAATGATGGGTGCGAGATCCTATTTCAAAAGGATTTGGCTGCCATGCACTTGTTTTCAGGCTTGTACGCGAGTTTTCTGTTTACGGGGAAAATATCATAAATTATAGCATTGACACCGTTCGCTATCTAACATGATAAGGGGGAAAAAATCCACACGCTCCTACTCTCCCAAAACCGGCCAGGGATGACACTGGGTTCAGAGTGCTGGCTGAAAATGGAATAAAATTCCAAAGTTATTATTATATCGGAATTACAAGTTATATCCTGAAATTGGTTCTATTTGGTTCTGAACTTCGAGAACTGTCTCCCTCCCCGCGCAAACGATTTCATTAGCAAATTATCCAACTCCCAAAGAGAGCCATCACCGAGTCAACCCTGACCTGCCAAATTCAAGTCTTTGGCATTGTTTATCACTTCGCTGGCAGTAACTAAACAAGATCGTTTATCTTCTCTCTTCCTGTGCCTTCGTTGCCTACCTGCTGCCGGAACACGCAAAAAATACTCGACCGCAATTCATTTTTCACCAACGCTGCCGCTGTCACCGTCCGTCCACCATTTCCCCCCGGAAAATGCGCATCCCAACCACCCTCAACTGCGTAGTTCCACCCGAGCCACCGGTGATCCTAGATCGATGGGGACGCGTCATAAATAGTACAACAATCGGACCAAAGGAGGAAGGAGATGATTTACTACTCACTTGCCGAGTGGTTGGAGGTAATTTATCTAAATTTAAGTCGCTTCTTTTTATTGATGTTATTTGCACCCTCCAACACTATCCCACTTGCTCGCACGGTTCACAGTCTACTCCCACCCGTCGTCGACATGAGGGTGCGAAGCTGGAAGGCGATTATGGAGCATAAGTGGGCTCCAATATGTGCCCCGAAGATTTATGTCCAAATGTGTTATGATATAAGTACCGATAACTTTATTGGAGCTATATAAGACCCCTCTCTTCGTAGGCAAGCCTTTCTTTTTTGCTGGCACACGCTGGCTTAAATTCTGCCGGGATGTACATACTCCAAGATACAGAGCGAGATATACCGAACCGGAAGGGTGGAACGGTGGAAGTGATCGGAAATGCTAAGCCAATAAGACGACCCCAGCCAGCCAGTAGATTGGGTCGGTAACTTTCTAAGAAAGCAGAGACAGGGGCCAGGAGGAAAAGTGTTGAATTGATTTCGTCGATTAAACGAAAGCCGGTCTGTTCTATCGACTGCCATCTTTACGGCTCCATGACACATACAAATTGACACCATTTTACGAGCCATGTTGTGTCATGGATTTTTCTTCAATATGGTTCGTAATTTAGTTGATTAATTGGCTGGTACCTAATTTGCTTTTTTGTAGGTGCTCGTGAGAAGTGTCAGGATTGGTAGATAATTAATTTTGATGGCACTTTTCTATTTCGACTATTAGAATCATAATCTATTGGGAAAATTTGCACTTATACACACAATTAAACCAATGTTAAAGAACAGCAGATCTTCAATGATGAGCATGCTCGCTTCTGAGTTGAAAGATACTGTTGCCAGTGTTGTTGCTGATCAAATGACTTATGTGAAATCGGAGGTTCGTTCAGTAACAGCTGCCATTGAGAAATCGCAGGAATTTCTTTCAGCAAAGTTTGATGAAATTGCATCAGATTTTAATAAACTTAAGACCGAAAATGAAAATCTAACACAGCAAATTTGTGATCTGTCTGAATCGCATGTTGAGTTAACTAATTTTGTTTACCAACTGGAGGCTAATGTAGATAGATCGGATCGTAAGGCAGTGTCAAATAACGCAATTTTGTTAGGGCTCCCAAACGTAGAGAATGAAAATACAATGAAATTAGTTGATAAAACTTTAGCTCATATCGGAGTAACCTTGCCATCAAATTCGATTCTGTCTGCGAAAAGATTGTATGTTAGTAACCAAACAAACGGGGTGGTCCCTATTCAAATTGTGTTTAAAGACAGGAACAGCAAGGAAATTGTTCTCTCTCGTAAAAAAGAGGTTGGAATCATTCCTTCAACCAACATTGATCAGTCTTTTCTAGTTAATGGCAAAGCATCCAATGTAACAGTAAGGGATGAATTAACCCCATTATCCATGGAATTGCTACGGAAAATGCGTGAATACCAAGATCCACTCAAAATTATGTTTGTATGGCCAGGAAGAGGAGGTGGCATACTTGTAAAAAAAGAAGAAAATTCTAAACCAGATCTGATCAAAACTAGGGAGGATCTTAATATTTTGATTAACCGGTATTCTGTGTTAGCCAAGCAATCACCATCGCCGAAACGGAAAAGGAATGATTAGGATGAAGTTTGTAATATGAGGTTTTTGTGTTTAATAAATGTAAAAATGGATCAAACATTAAATTACTTTCATAATCACATTGATGATTTTAATACGTCCTGTGGAAGGGTGTGTCCGAAACAATTGCGAGTTTTACAGTGGAATGTTCGGGGTATCAATGATTTGCATAAATTTCATGACATGCTCATTTCAATTGATCGTTGGAGAAACTTGGATAAAAACCGGAAATACTGGGCTCTATAAGATAAAAGGATATAACAGTATATTTTCAAGTAGAGATAACTCATTTGGTGGCTTAGTAATGTAAGTGAGAGATACCATTGAATATAAAATCGTTAAAAATGTCTGTAGTGATGGCTTCCATCACATTAATGTCGAATTATTGTTGCCTGAAGGTGTCGTCAATGTTCATGGTGTATACCGGCCACCGTCATATGATTTCAACGTGTTTCATGATCGTTTGGAAAGTTGGCTTAATAAAAGTAGTACAAATCGCCCTTGTTTAATTGTCGGAGATATGAATGTACCTGTTAATCTGTTGAATAATAATGTTGTTTTGAAATATAAATACCTTTTACAGTCATATGGGTTTATGTGTTCTAATATATTTGTTACAAGACCGTCTAGCTCAAATATTCTAGACCATGTTATATGTAAAATGACCGATGCTCATCGTCTAAGTAATCACACTATCTTTAGCGATTTAAGTGATCATTGCATGATTTTATCTGAGTTCAAATTGCAGGTTGGCACCAATCGGGTAGAGTTATCAAAACAAATAATTAATCACGATAAATTACAAATAGAGTTCAAAAGATACATTGACGGCGTTGGACCTGTACATGATGTAAACACATGTTTTCAAAATATGTTATCAAACTACAACGTAATATTGAATGATTGCACCAAAACAGTTACAAAATATGTTAACGTTAAAGGTACAGAATGCCCGTGGATGAGCCTTGATTTGTGGACTTTAATTAAAATTAAAAACAATTATCTGAAAAAATCGCGTCGTGATCCTAACAACACTCGTTGTGCGGAACTATTAAAACATGTTTCGAAAAAACTGGATTTATCTAAGAAACAAGCAAAAAAAAACTTACTTTGAAAGGCTGTTGAACAATACGTCACACTCAAAATTATGGAAAAATATCAACACAATAATGGGCAAATTGCAGAACAATAAAAAACTGTCCTTGGTAATTAATGGCAATTGTATAACTGATAGTAAGTTAATCTGCGATGCAATTAACGAACACTTTTCGACAGTTGGTTCAAAATTAGCAAAAAACTTCACTCCGACGGGTTCAAACCCATTGCGACATATAGAACCAATTGCAAACCCAATTTTTCTACAACCCGCATCCGCAAATGAGGTTGTCCTGCTAATTAATGACTTAAAAACTAATAAAAGCCCTGGTCCTGATCATATCCCAGCAAAGATAATTAAAAATAATGTTGTATCGCTTTCCCGTATTTTGTCTGATTCATTCAATTTAATGATTCAAAGAGGTATCTACCCAGACTGTCTTAAAACTGCCAAAGTTATCCCAATATTGAAATCAGGTGATTCTACAAAACCCGATAAAAGTCGGAGACGAGCCAGCCAACGGCTGAAAGTCTCCTTAATAAAGATATAAAAAAAAAAAAAAAAAAACCCGATAATTATCGGCCTATATTGACCCTCTCAGTTTTCAATAAAATATTCGAAAAATTGTTGATTAATCGCATAGTTCGTTTCTTAGACAATCATAGAGCACTTTATGGTATGCAATATGGATTTCGCAACGGAAGCAGCACTACCGTCGCTATAACTGAACTTGTTGATCATATACTGGAGGAAACAGATTCGAAGAAATATGTAGGAGCTTTATTCTTAGAATTAAAAAAGGCGTTCGACACTCTAAATCACGACATTTTACTGCGTAAATTAGATTGTTATGGGATCAGAGGAGTCGCAAATGATATAGTTCGAAGCTACTTAAAAAGTAGAACTAAATTTGTTTCGTATGACGGAGAAATAAGCTCCCTGAGACAAATAAGTACAGGAGTTCCCCAAGGGAGCAATATTGGGCCCTTACTATTTCTCATTTACATTAACGACATTAGTAAAACTTGCCTTGCTGGTACTCCGAGGTTGTTTGCAGATGACACAGTCTTATTTTATCCGAATGTCGATCCAAAAGCGATAATTTCAAGCATGAATGGAGACTTACAAATTGTCCAGGAATATTTTTGCGATAATCTGCTCTCACTTAATTTACAAAAAACTAAATACATGATCTTCCGACCACCAAGAAAAATCCTTCCAATTGTTCCTAATTTAGTAATGGATGTTAACGTCATACAGAAAGTAGAGTCATTTAAATATCTAGGTATTCAGCTAGATTGTACATTGTCTTGGGATCTGCATATCAAGGAAGTAGCGAGAAAAGTTTCATCCATGTGTGGAGTTTTGAAAAGGGTTAGATGTTTCATTCCTCGAAAAGTTCTGCTTATGTTCTACTACACTCACATTCAGTCACAGCTGAACTATTTGATAATTGTATGGGGCAGAGCCTGTAAATCAAAGCTTAAAAGACTGCAAGTATTACAAAATCGATGTATTAAAATAATCTATAACCTACCTTTCCTGTTTCCATCTGTCCGGTTGTACACAGATTTTCCACATAAAGTATTGCCTATACAAGGCATGTGTGAAGAACAAACATTGCTCTTGATTCATAATATGCAACATAATCCAGCAAGTATCCACAATTTAACTCTAAATGTGACGCCACGATTACACAACACCAGGCAAATTAATCATCTCTCTCGATCTCGTGCGTATACAAACTTTGGTCAGAAACGGTTTACTTTTATAGGTTCAGACAAATTTAACAACCTACACAGAGATATTCAGATGCTAACAAATCGTTCATCATTTAAATCTAACATTAAAAGTTACTTACGATCGCAAATACCACAACTATTAATTTAAGCTTAGTTATATTTTCTTTCTTTTTATTATTATATTTTAACCGTCATCAAACATTTAAGTATTAATTATTTGTCCATCTTTCCTTAGTATGAATATAAATATTAATTTTGTAATGTTTTGAATACATGCGCTTCTTTAAAAGGATACTTTATCCACTAGAAGCGCATAAATTGTTTTGTTCGTAATAGTATCTCCTTTTTGTAGAATTGTAAATTAAAATATGCTCAGCCATGTTATAAGTAGTGTTTTGTATTTATGATGTTGCCTATAGCTGAGTTTTATGAGTGTGCACTACCAGGGGGCTCAAAATGGAGCTTTTTGGTGTGGGGGAGAGTGGAGGGTACTCAAAAAAAAAAGTAAGTCGTCTAAATAGTTTATTAAAAAAGTACAATTGATGCAAATGGTGGATATTTACAAAAAAAAATAC